ATCAGTTACGAATGAATAGTGAGTTCGATCCTCAGTGAACGCTCCATACTTTGGATTTACTTTTTAGTAAATCACTCTAGCACATCTATCGCCATATATCAAAATTGATTTCGTTTTTATAGACCTTTGGTCCAAAGGTTATTTGATGTACATATCTAAAACTATGACGCCATAATAATAATTAACTATTAATTAATTAAGTATTATTTAGCTTCTTCACATCAAATGATGTTGGTTACTTGTAAGAAGTTTATTTTTGTGGTCACTTCAGGAAATAAACTAACCATTTGTTCTTTTCATCGACAGACTATCCAATATTTTTCGAAGTATCCTGGCCGTTCCGAGCAGGCAAGGTTTTTTAAACTTTTTACAACATCGGGTGGTGCTCCAATGATCATTAAGGCATTTACAATCGGAGTTTCTTTCCTAGCCTTTTCAAATCTTCAGTATTTCACTTTAAATCACTGTAGCTGTCGATTTTTTATTTGTTTTCAATTTTAGTAAACCATTTAAACCACATCACGTTGAAAAATAAGTTAAAGTACCATCACTTTTTTATTTAAGCAACGTCGAGCTTGGTCAGCATACCTGATGGATGACTGCTTTGGAAAACCAGGTGACAAAGTTAATAGCAATTTGACAAGGTGGTGTAATGGATAATGATTAAGAATTTTATATCAGGTTCAATTCCTCTAAAGGTTCATTATATTGACTTACACGCAAATACCCTTGGGAAATGTATGAAGACTTCTTCTTTAACTATGGGTTGGGTTACAACATCACTAAACCATTGGGGAATAGTGAAAAAATAAAATAAAATTGCGTATAAAATATTTAGATTTCGTCATTAAATAGCATATAGAGGTTGATATACCGCTAGGTAAAACCAATCGACAAATTCTCATAACAAATAGACAAGAGACTTCTGTCAGATAAAAAACCTTTATCGGTTGTCTAGCAAGACTATATCCGATATATTGAGCTCTAAAGTTGTTACTGCTTGTATTGGAATATCTCGCAGGATTGTCACCTTCGGAAAGACCCGATAAGGCACGAGAACCTAGAAGGTTTCAGATTGAGGAGGATGGTTTATTTGGGAAGATATTTGTTACCCTAGACTTGAACAGGTTAACATTATTAGTGATCGAGGAAGCATTCTTGGGAGTCTGTTAGCAAAAGCGGTTCGTGGTAAGAAGCCATTCAGTATGAACGATACATTTCACTAAATGGAATTACGGAATGAAGATTGGTCCGCTATAATGTGCATGCGGACGGGTCGTATCCATGAAAATTGAAATTGGTTGAATAAGGAATAAAACTGTCTGAAATTAGCGATAAGCAACAGAAGGCGAGGGCCTGCTAATGTTTTCGTCTCTAGGGAAAAGGTATGGAAAAGTAATTTTTTAAAGAACAAATTTCCTCTGATTTCTCTCGAACGATCTTATCTGCTCAAAGCGTATCTTAACGTAAACAAATGACAACATATATTATGAAATGAATTAAGACAGACAATTATTTTAATATATTCGAAGCTGCGTGAGTGGAACTTCCATCTTATCAAACGGAATATGAAAGGAATGAGGGTGGTTCGCTACAATGGGCGTGGCAAGGTGGGTCTTAGCCATGAAGGTTAGAACTGGTGGAACTAAGGAATGTAATTCGTTTCGGCACTTTCCATGGAATTAACAGTTGAGTAGCGAGAGGCTTGCAATATTTTGCCTGTTGGAAAGGAGTGGAATATATTCTGATACAATGGGATAGTCTCTTCTCTCTTCCCATACATTCTACTTAATCTCGAAGTGTTAACCTTAACATTTGCCCAAATTGTCTGCAATTCCCTGATCCTGAGCTGCCTTTATTATTATTATTATTACTATTATTATTTCCTTTGATTTCTGGTGTTTAGTCATTTCTTTTCGGTTCCATCTAGAGACCTAAGGTCAGAAATGGCATCATGGCATTTTCCACTGAGCAATTAAAAAATCAAAACACACATATTTTACATAGATAAATCCCTTCGTAAGGTGCGGGCTGTTCTCGTAAGAACATTTTCTTTGTATTTCTTTAAGGCATGGGCTACCAAGAATCCCCTAAATGAGTCTATTGGAATCTTTTCAAATCAATTCGAGGGCACCAACTACAACTGGAATTACTGATGTCCTTATGTGTCACATTTTTTTCAAGATCTTCAAAGATACATTGCAGTCTGCAGGGATTGACATATCAATAAGGAGGCACATTTTTTTTTGTTTGCAGTCTCTAATAACAATGTATGAGCAATTAGCTTTGTTTGTTCTGTCTGTAGTCGCATAAAATTTTAACAGGTCCTATCTCCGTAACCGGGTCTGGGTGATGTTCATACTAATTTCTTTCACTTTCCTTTCCGTAGAAGTTGCAGATTTTCCAATGCAGATATTGGCCCACTCTGTCATGTCGTGTTTTATATTCAATGGTTGCCAATACCGTGCAACCTGATACAAGTTGGTTAATTGTTTCTGGATATTTATCACAGAATCTGCATTTTGGGCTAACACAATTTTTCAGTGTGCTTGATAATTTCTAATTAACAAGCATTGGTCATGTGCAGCAAGTATAAAAACTTCCATTTCAGTTTTTAACCCTGCACTACGTAGCCACTGATGGGTTTGTCTACATCAGCTAATTTGGTACGGGCAGAGTATTGGCCATGAAGCGGTTTATCTTGCCATCGTTTCTGTATCTGGTCGTTTGAATTTGCTTTTGCTTTCTTTTTCAAGTATTTTGCAGCTTCAGTATTCTTATTACTGAGTAAGAGATCAAAAGGTGCAACAAAAAGGTGGTGGTGGGGTTCAAATATACGAAACTCAATATATACACTATGACAACAAAGGTGATAAGGCATTACCAGACAGATGCATCAAAACCCGAAATGTGCGATATGGTGACAGGTTTTGATAACAGCAGTGGATAACCTTGCAGGTGGGGCATCGTTAGAAATGCCTTCAAGTCGGTTCACTCAGTTCACAAACAGTTTCTGATTGAAGGTGTTACCTTTTATTTTTTAAGCATTCAACCCCAAGCAAGGCGGGAAGCCACTAGCAAGCAAAGGGTTTCAGAGTGGGAGCGAGAACAAAGATGAGTGACAGAGAAAAGGCTGAAGAGACGGTTAGGGGATAGATCAGGTTATCTGGAGACGTCGATTGACGTTACATTTAAATAGTTGGAGATTATAGTTATCAGGAAAACAAGAAATGAGGAGGGAGTCCCACAGGTGAGAAGTGCGAGACATGAAGCTATTGGAGTAGAAGAGACGGCTACATTTAACAGTTTCGACAGTGAAAGGGTGAGAGCGAGATGTCGGCCTAGTTGAGCGCTTAAATTCACGAAGTTTGGGAACCAGCGAAAGCAGCTCACTGGTTCTGTTACCATGAAAATATTTGTAAAAAAGACAGAGGGAGGCAACGGCATGTCTGTGAGAAAGCGGCTGCAGACGAGATGCCAGATCAGGGCCAATTACATTGCATATCCGTCTTCGGATTTTATCAAGGACAAGAGACAATTAGGAGGGGCTCCAGCCCCTATATGACAGCAATACTCTATGCAAGGGCGAATGGTTGATTTAGTAGCTAGATGTGGTACTCAAGTCGACTTGGCTGCCTTATTCTTCAAACTTCAAAAAAACGCCCTCGATACGCGGCCATAATGCTCCCTCACTATTTTATGAGTGTATCAGACCGTAGGATACATACCAAATAATAATAAAAATTGGGTATCAAAAGTATTTTCGTTTTTTAAAGTCATTAACTCCAAAACTGTCAAAGCTCCAAAGGCTATCTATATTTCTTCTTTTATGTGCCGTGTCCCTTCAGGACGTAGACGATCATGGCTCTCCACTTCCTCCTATCCCTTGTAGTTTTCAATAAGTTTTGTCTTTTTGCTACTTCTCCCTGTTCCGCCATCCACTTGCTTAAGTCCGCTTTTAGGTTAAAATTGTTTTCCTCTATTCCTCTTTCCCTCCATTCGCCCTGTGAGTATCCGATTTTCCAAGCCTTCCTTTCTCATTACGTTTCCCAGAAATTTCAGCTGCTTCGTCCTGATGTTAAGTATAAGTTCCTCTTTGCTTGCATCCTTTCCAAAACCTCATCTTTGCTCACATGTTCGATCCATGGTATCCTTAACATCCTTCTGTAGAACCATACATCTGTTGCCTCAAATCTCTTCTTCATCTTTGAGGAGACCGTCCAACATTCGCTGCCTTAAAGGAGGACAGATATCACGTAGCAGAAAAGTACTATTTTCTTTTGTTACCAACGAAATCCTCCTATTCGTAATCCTGTTTCTTTTTAGAATGCGTCATTGGCCATTTAAAAATAAATTAATCTTAGATTCTCAATGTCTCATCTGTTCTCATTAATAACATATTCCATATATATATATATATATATATTTTCTACATTTGTCGGGTATCAAATCACAGATATTCACTCGGAAGGTAGCGCCCCTTTTTGTGGGTGATGGATCTTAGCTCTCTGCCTGGGATTCAATCGGATTATTCTAAGCTTTGCCGACCGTTGTCAAAGTGGATGGGACGCTGGGATAAATGTCAGATTCCATTAGAGAAGGCTGGATGCATTCCGGACGGCGGCGTACACATGAAGAGAAGGAAGACAAAATGGCTAACACGTTAAAGACCTTTTTACTACATCAATGACAAGTGGATGAATGTCATAATATAGTCTCTTTTGTTTAATTATTCTGAATGACGGAAAGCAGTTCCTGAATGGCTATCACTATGGTAGTCAATTTCAAAAAGAGGCTCCCTTGTGTGAATTTGATGAGATCCAAATGATATTAGAATAGAGGAATCATTTTTATTAGTTTCAATTTGTTCAGGCCATGACACATGGTTGGTTATTAGAAAGAAGAGGATGAAAATGAGAAAAGGGATGAAATTGATTAAATAGGAGAGGGGAGAGGGGATAGGAGAGAGGGGGAGAGGGGATAGGAGAGAGAAGAGAGACTATGGAGCAGATAGTTTTGGGGATGCAAGAGAGGGGGATAGAGAAAATTAAGGGAAATAATGGGGAGGATGCAAGAATCGAGAGGAAAATAAATGAATAATTATTATGAAAGAAGAGGTTAGAAGAAGAGGAAAGAAGAGGTGGAGAGGAGAGAGAGATCTAGAAGGATAAATTCCTAAAAAGAGGGCGTATAAGGAAAGGGTGAGAGATGAGAATCGTTCGGTTAGCAAGGTCGATTTTACTGCGTTTAAACTACAATTTTCCATGAATCTCTCACGTACATTCATATCTGCTCATGGCGTATCCAAATGTAAACAAATGACGTCACACATGAAATGGACAAAGTCTGACAATTATTTTTAAGACATTTTTTTATGTTTTTACATTCTTTTTATAGATACAAATATTTAAGTAAATGCTCTGTTTATAATAAACAGTATATATAACATTTACTGGCCTGAATGTCCGAGAAATCTTCATAGAAAATATGCGTCCTCCGACAGGAATCGAACCTGTATCCCATACGGAACCGTCATATAGCCTGACGTGCCTTAACCGATTAGGAGCGTTCGGTTAGCAAGGTCGATTTTACTGTTTTTAAACACAATTCTCTATGATTTTCTCTCGTACATTCATATCTGCTCAATGCATATCCAAATGTAAACAAATGACGTCACACATTATGAAATGGACAAAGTTTGACAATTATTTTATTAATATATATATATATATATATATATATATATATATATAATATAAAATATGATATATAAATTCATTTTAAGGAGTATGTGTTTATGTTTATTTATTATTTGCATTCTTTTTAGGAGGTTGTTTCTGGCAAACTTTTAATCCCACCTTTGAAGTATACACCCTTTTGTTACCTAGACCATAAAACAAAAATGTAAATCCTTTTACGAGAGTAGAAAACAAAGCACAAGAAACGCACAAATTTAATGTCAGATTTTATTATGCATTTCAAACGTTTTCATAATAATATTTGCATTAAACAATTGTAAATTTTCAGGATTTATTAATATTTATAAAAACAATATAATGTGTGAATTTCAGGTAGAATCGTTAAATTAAAAATATTAGTAATAACTTGTTTTGGGAGTGTCATTTTTATGGTAGTCTTATTAGGCAAACTAAGTGCAGCAAAAAGTTTTATTTATAAATGGGCCAAAGAAACATACAATTTGATTAATTTTTATAAGATATAAGACCAGGTTTAAAGGTCCATTTAAATATCACTTTGATTACTTTTCGGGTAGGAAAATAAAATTAGCAGATATAGAACTCGAAATTTTCCAATAACAGATCTGTATTTCTTAAACATTGTAACTGATACATAGACTTGATGAATTTTAGTGTAATAGTAGATTGATGGCAATGTATCATCATCCTACAGTTAAAATGGCTAAATATAACCGTAAGTTCTACGCTAATAGTTTCTCGCTTATGGAATTCTCTCTCAGCTCGTTGCTTTCCAGTCAAATTAGATCTTAAAAAATTTAAATGCTATGTAAATTATCTTCTGTCTTCTTAATAGATGGTGTATAAAATGAATTGTTGGTCATCTCTATCTATAAAAGGCAGGATGTGTGTGTGTGTGTGTATAAAGAATGCACGGCCGCAATTTTCGACGGATTTGCACCAATATTTACAAGCACAAGTTAGCGGGAAGGCCAAGGCCGACTTTGCATTTCCCAACTCTCATCGATAGTGGAAATAATTGATTTTTTCATGTTTCTATGGCAGTTTTCATGTAGTTTGTGGCCATTTTCTACTGGCCAGATAAAGAGCCTATAGCTGGCTGCCACGAATAGGCAGGAAGATTCTATTGGCCAGGGTGAGAGCCAACAGCTGACTGACACGAATGTTAACTAGCATGCTAGCATGCAAAAAAAGCGATAGCTGCATTCGTCACAAGTGGGAAAAATTTAAATCGGCATAGCATTTTACTCCAATCGGTTCATTAGCTTGCTTAAATTCAACGTTGATTCTGATTCCGCAGAACTGGTTATAGTGTGAAAAAGTATTTGTTAACATTCTTTTTTCATTCGGTTTTTCCAGTTACGAGTTCTTTTTTAAAGCTGATCGTTTTGTGTTCATTTTGTTTACTTCTTTTTTCGTAACAGATTTAATGTTTAGTATAGAGCTTAGAAAAAATTCGCAGTGTGAGATGGGCAAGAAGTAAGGCATGTAGCAACATCAGCACGGCAAATGACACTCCTTTAAAGGCAAGGAAGGGCAAAAATATTTTAAGTCAAGTGATAGCGATTGCTGTATGAGTCGTACGGTTTTTGAATCAAGCACGGGCAACGCCGGACCATGCTTCTAGTTTTATCATAAAAATGACCTGTTGATTTTTGTTTGGGGATTTGCTATTTGCCCATAGCTGGGACCCTAACTTCAGAACAACATCAGTTAAGAGGTGGTTTCACGCTTCTCAAAACCTACCTCTCATCACCCAATCAGAGGACTTGTAGTTTATCGTCATACATCTTGCTTTGGGTGAAATTATCTCTCTCTCTCTCTCTATATATATATATATATATTATAGTTGAACTTATACTTAATTATCTAAAAACCTTTAAGTTTATTCTTTATCATTACTTTTTAGATTGGTGTATCTATCTTATACTCCCCATCTATTTAGTCTTATGCTATAGGAAGCAAAGTTTAGTCAAATTATGTCTTTCAATAGTCTTGTTTTTTTTTTTAATATAGACAATTGAAAAAAAGTTAAATTTTCAATTCGTTCTTTATCTTAAAGAGCTTTCCTTCATAAAAATAATTGTAAAAATATTAATTTTAAATCGTGACCAGTTTTTGTTTTTTAGATTAAAATATCCAAGTAATTATACTAACATCTTTACATTGCATTAAGCTGAACAACTTAAAATGTTTTTTTTCATCAAGCAGAAATGGCGGATGTGATAAAAATATAAAAGTTAATCGATAAAACCAGATTCCAGTTAAGTGACTTTAATTGATTAAAATTAAACAATGTTTTTATTCATATTTCGGCATAGAACAAAAGCGGTTATTCTCGGAAACTTAAAGAAAATACTCAAGTGGCTCAATCAGGTTTTTATTGCAAAAGATTTCAGGAATTCAAATGAACAGACGTTGGAAAGTAGTGCTTAACTTAGCACTTAACAGCAGCCCAAAAACAAACTATCTATAAACAATCACTCAATGATTCAAAAGGTTTATTCTGTTTATGTTGTTAGATTGAATTATGTTATATTTACTGTAGTAAAGCAGATTGGATTCTGTAGCCGGAGTCAGTCTAAAAGAAGATAGTAAATTCAAATTGGCTGGGTGTACGAGTACAGTGAAGAGTAAAAAGGTGTTCTTGTGTCGAAATTTAGACTCACTTTTCATTGCAACTGATACTTTACCAATTAGCCTGGACCACACAGTGTCATTGGATTCTGGAATGCGTGTCATGAAAGTGGACTTGGTTCTACGGAACACCTTATTCGGAAAATCCATTCTTTGAAAGGAGCCATAACCGTCCTTTGGCGATAATTACTAATATGATAACTGCATAATCCTGGCTGGCGGTTCTAAAATATATATATATATATATATATATATATATATATATATATATATATATATATATATATAAGAATCTTTCGATTAGTGCGTTAAAGTTTTTATATACCAAATCTAGATTAGTGCGGTAAAACATTTTTCAGTTTAACCATAGTAATTGAAAATTGATTTTTTGATAGCTACTGATTAATTTAAAGTACACATGGCACAGTGGATAAAGGCATTAGTTAGATCCAGTGACAAAACCCAAAGAGTGTGAGTTCAATACCCGATTAAGGTGGTGGAGAGCTTTCAGAGGGGAATTAACAGGAGATAACTGATAACTGACATCCATTAAAACATGGCACGTGGAACTAGAACAATCTACCCCAGTGAGCGAAATAAAGTGTTCAGTTCGATATTCCAACCACCTGAAGAAAGCCGGAGCGTACAACGGCCGAAACGTTGTAATAAGTATGGCGACAAAGATGCGGACAATGGTCCGAATAATGTAAATAATGTACATAATACCTCATCTCAGAAATATAGACAGATAATTTAAAGTTTTCTAAAATTTAAAAATGAGGAACTATTTTGTTCGTCAAGCATTACGTTATCTAAGTAATTATAGTAGTGTTAAAAAATAGACTGTTAATAATTAGGGAAGAAATTAAATAATAAATAAACATTAAAATAATAAAGATTAAAAAAATATCGAAATATATTAGATGTATGCATTTTCTATGGAAAGATTATAATGTTTTCAGGTTAAAATATTAATGATTATATGTTTAGAAAATTAGAAGGGACATTTATATGAAGAACAGAAGAATATCATGTGGCAAGCCACTCTAAATGCGTTTTTTCATAAAAAAATTTGATTAATAAGCATTAATTCATAGCATTTTTATTGTATCTTGTTATATGTACGTATATTTTAATGACAAAGTACACAAATTAGAAATTAATGGTGAATGAGGCTAAAATTGAGATACAAGTTACATCATTTCCTATGAGTAATTATATTCGATTAGTGCGTCTCTTAATATACACACATTAGTCTCACTAATCTAGAGATTCCTGCATATATCAAATGCATGGTTACTATAAGCAAGATGAATCTTCACTTAGAAACATTGTAAAGAAATATACAACTTCAGTTGACAAAAACAAGAAAATTAAATTATCTACTATAAAAAATTTAAAACTGCTAACCTCGTCAACAACAATAATTTACCGGCAAGATATAAATTACAGAGAACCAATATTATTTACGAATTCATATGTCCCTTAAGGAAATATGATCCTGATCAACCCAAGTTCCTAGATAATTATATTGGATATACTACAACATGTTTAACACGAAGACTCACGTAACATCTCCATGACCATAGTTCAATTAGCTCACATTTAAATACACAAATACCAAACTCCATCCGCAACATACTCGATGACAATACAAATATAATTGCCTCATCCACATGTAAAAAGAGGTTTAACATAATCGAAGCAGTATGAATAAAAAGAAAAAGCCAACATATGAACTATGAACACGGCCACAAAGTGCTGACTGTGTCTGGAAAATAAAACAATCCTCTAACTATAGATACATGCATAAAACAACCCATGCATTCAGTCAAAAGTAAAAATAAAATGAATCCTTGATGATAGCTAAAAGTATAGCCGAAAGCACTCGGACATATAAAACACTGAGACAATCTTTATATAATTTACGTCCAGGAAACAGAAAACAAAATTAAGAACACATGAAAAGTTTATATATATATATATATATATATATATATATATATATATATTGAATATATATATAAAAAATTACAATTTGTCAGTTGTTTTTAACAGAAACTTGCATAAAAGAGTATGATATCCAAATTTTATATATATATATATATATGTGTATGTGTGTATGTGTCATCCACATACAATTTCTTCTCAAATTCACTGTTATTACTCTTTGAAGTATTAATAAGGGCTTTCTTCCTAACCTTTTGTTTGAAGTTGTATGGAATGATTGTTGACATCTTGATTATATCATTATTGTCTCTTTGAGTTATGTGTGCTATCCACTTTAGTTGTTGCTGTTGTTGGAAAAAAATGACAAGTGACAAAAATAGCACTGGCTGCTTGATCAATAAGTGCTGTATCACAGCTCATCAGTGTGACTAGACATCTGATTGTTTCAAGCCGGAATCGAAAGTCGACCGATTTGGCATCAGTCAGAGATTCTACCCGGAAGCTATCAACACACGGCAGAAAAAGGGAAATTTTTAATGTATTATATTCGAGATGTATACAAACGCCAGTAGCCAGGAGTGCTCAATTCGTAATTGAAGAGCGTTATATATATTGTGTACTTCGATAGAAACTATTCTTTTATACATATGTCCTTAAATGTGGCGGCCAAGTTTTTTTTCAGTTTTTCTAATGTTTTGTGGAGACAGAGATAGTGAAGAAACTGTTCGAAGTGATTATTGTGACAGGCACTTTCGGTCTATTCATTAAACATTTTCAAGGGTTTTATTTTTATTCTTTTAAGCGTTTCACCCCAAGCAAGGCGAGAAGCCACTAGGACGCAAGGGGTTACAGAATATTTGGAGCAAGATCAGAGAGGAATGATAGAAGAAAGGATGAGGAGAAGGGTAGTGGATAGATCAAGGCAACTGGAGATGTCGATTGACATTACATTTGAATAGCTGGAGATTATTGCTCTCAGGGAAACTGGAATAGGGAAGGGAGTTCCACAGGCGAGAGGTGCGAGACATGAAGCTATTGGAGTAGAAGAGACGGCTACATTTACAAGTTTCGACAGTGAAAGGGTGAGAGCGGGATGCCAGCCTCGTAGGGCGCTTGAACTCATGAAGTCTGGGGACCAGCGAATGCAGCTCCTCGGAGTAATTGCCATGAAATTATTTGTAAAACAGACAGAGAGAGGCGATGGCGCGTCTGTGAGAGAGTGACTGTAGACGAGATACCAGAACAGGGCCAATTGTTGTTAGCATGTTTTATTTTGTGTTCAAAGTTGTATCGTGCAGAAGTAGTAGTAATTCTAAGCTGTGCTGGATGGGATGTTGTAATTCTATGTTGGAGCTGTCTTTAAAAGACAACCAGCACGAACCTCCCATTGTCAGAATGTTTTCTTGGGTCTGTACGTTAACTTTATTTACCTGATGCGTGGTTAACGTCCCTGTCCTGTAAGTGGAGCTCTGATTTTATTCATATTAGATGGGAGAAGTTGTTCAGCCCTGGAGATTCCAACCCTGCGGCAGCACCTCCCCTATCGCACTAAAGAGGTAGGGTCGATGTAGCACTAATGTCAGTATGACAGTGGTTACGAGGGCTGAGCTAAAATCAGTTTTTGCCCTTGGTCCATATACATAAGTATGTAAATGACGCTCCCAACTTTAAAACGACTTTGAGTCACATCCAATCTTGGTGGGGAAGCCGGGTAAATATGCTTTTATTTTTCAACTTTTGCACATCCAATACAAGGCCCAAGTACAACCCAAGCTAGAGCGTAACTGAATTCCTCATTCAGTCACCCTTTGTTTATATTTATTGATTTTATTAAAGTTAAAAATATGACTCAAATGAAAAAAAAATGATATGTAAACATTTTGGGAAGCTTAATTAACCAAACAAAACTTTTGGTTGCGCAACAGAATTAAATTTAAAGAAATCAATTCTCTTTGTTTAAAAAACAAACAAACAAACAAAAAAAACAAACCCAAAACAAAACACGATGGTAATATGTCTATATTTCTGAGATAAGGTATTCTAACTATTTACAATATTTACATTATCCGGATCGTTTTCATCATCTTTATTGTCATATTCATGACATTTCTACCGTTGTACGCTCTGGTCTTCTTCAGGATTTGTCTATATTTCTGAGATGAGATAACTATTTACACTATTTACATCGTTCGGACAGTTGACCTCATCTTTTAGTGCCATATTCACGACGTTTCGAACATTGTACGTTCCGACCTTATTCAGGTGATATGTGCTGGAATTTTAAAGCGAAGCCTTTATTAATTGAAGCCCGGGTTGTTGCATTGGACATCTCGAAAGCCTTTGACAGGGTCTGGCATTAAGGTCTTCTACACAAGCTGAAAAGTTACGGTATCCCCGGGCACTTTTTTGAACTGATCCAGTCTTTCTTAACAAATCGTGAAATGAGAGTTATCTTGAACGGCCACTCGTCTAGATCATTTCGTACTAAAGCAGGTGTTCTACTCTATTTTTATTTTTCATTAATAACGCTCCTGGTGACATTAGTTCTCAATTTGGTATCTATGCTGACGACACAATTTACTCCTGCCTCGATAGTAAGGCTTATCAGTCTGATAAGGTCAAAATAGCAGCCGATGTCCAAAACGACAGCAAGTCCCATAGTTAACTGGGGCAAAAGATGACTTGTTAATTTTAACACCTCCAAAACTAAACTTCTCTGCATTAATCTTCTGAGAGACCCCCTTTGCTTCCTTCCATCAGCTGATGCTATCCTCCAGAAAAGTGACTCGTTGCGTCTTCTCGGGCACACGTTCTCAGCTGATATGAAGTAGAAAGACTATATTAAGCCCATTGGCAGGCCAGCTGCTAAGAAAGGCGGTTCACTATGTCGGGCGAGACAGTCTTTTTATCCGAAATCTTTCTCGCATATCTATATGTCTACATTCGTCCATGCTTAGAATATTGCTGCCATATATGGTCCAGTGCTACTGCTATTTATCTTGAGCTCCTTGAAAAGATCCAAAGAAGAATCTGCAATATTATTGGGCCTGATCTGACAGCTCAGCTCCAGTCACTTGCCCACCGTCGTAAGGTTGCCTCTGTGTCTTTCTTATAAATACGTTCATGGTAATTGTTCGAACGTACTCTTCACTCTGGTTTCTGAGTTTTTTATTTTATTTTAAGCGTAGCGCTAAACTGGC